TTGTTTTACTTTCAGTGAATTCTGATAGTATATGTATCTATGTATCTATTGTTAAATGCACAAACAAAGAAAATATGGTAACACAAATAGGTTAAACATTCTTAATGAAAAGTAAAAGTAATTTATTTGGTTGAACAGCTGTTACTAGCTCAGATTTACCGACACATATATACACAAAAACAAATACACGTAAATGATTCTAATCTTTTATAAACTTTTCAAAGTATGTAGTCTCACTAAAATTATATGACTGACATGAAATCTAAATGACCAAAATGATAAAGAAACACCTTATCGGTATAATACTGATAATTTCAAGTTAATTAATCCCTTTAATGCAAGCATAGTGTTCTGGGGTATTAGGCTGATTTTACTTCCAAAGAAGTGAAATTATCTCATCATCTAAGCTGAACACATGATACTACTCCAGCCAGTTAGTTAGTTAACATCAACATGAGACCTTGAACTATTGCTGAACGGCCCAATTCTCCACATTTCCCATCAGCATATAAGGTTAGAAAGGATCAAGCGGAAAGAGAGAAAAATTCTTTCGATAATTCGTGAAATTCATAAGATGAGAAAAGTGGAGGGTCACGAAAGTAGCAATGAAAAGTGATATGACTACTGGGACGACGATAATTTATGGACAGATCTACGCTACTGCGTCATCTGCCAAGAACAATACTACAGTAGCACTTACTCGATGTACCTCAGTTTCAAATAGTTCCAAAAAGGTTGTCGTTCAACGTTTACAATTAAAATAACCACTTCGGCCATACTCTCTCCTAATACTAAGTTATTACTGCTATTATTATTAGGGATTTAAAATTTTTGTCACTTCATGTGAATATTTTCAGCTAAGATCCAATGTGAGTAGGTTTTTACACCCAACTAGTAACAATGATGCCCAGCATTTCTGCAGCGAAGTGTTGGTTGAGTTCCTGAATAGCACACCGATCAGAATTAACAATCAGTGGTGTTCACCAAGATAGCCCACTATCACCATTCTTTTTCAGCTTTGTTGTAGGCGTCCTAAATGATATAACCGTACGTGCCTCCGAATTCACAGGGATTGACTAACTTCCCAGAGGGTGCTTGGCTCACCTCTTGTACACAGATGAGATTGTCCTGTTAGTTGAATACGCTGTTGAAATGCAGGGTCTTCTCAACAACTTCAGCAAAAACTTGAGTACTTTTAAGCTCTGCACCTGTCAAGCGTAAGATGGTACTTCAGGACTCATTTGCAACTACTTCTGGTTGACAGATAAAGAGTGAAATGGCAGAACGCGTAGACCGCTTCACTTACTTGGGAAGCTGTTGCATTTACCTAAATGGATTGTTGACAAAACCACACTTAACATACACGAAATATTTGTTTCACGTCTTCCAACTTATGCTATCTCTGATGCCACTATAATGTAGTAATGCCTATTAAACGATGAGTACATTGCGCTGCAATCCGCTCTGTTTTCTTATGAGGCTGGGATATGATCTCTTAGAGTGGACGGTAGGAAGACATTACGCGTTTCCAACGACATATATCTTTGTAGCATTCCTCGAATATGATAGAATCCCAGTGTGAGCAAAGTCGGGGTTAGGCGTAAAATATTCGGCAAGGAAGGCAAGTAAATCCATCAAGTTGTGAACCTTCGCCAACTGAAGTGCTTTGAACATATGCTTACCAAGCCATTGGCTACCTCGATGTGCGGTGTTAGTCCAAGTGGGATTGGATTAGAAAAATGTGCACAATCAGATAAAAAAAATTGGCATCAGATCTGTGTAAGAAGGTGTAAACTGTATGGCTTGGGTTCTGGGGACGATAGGAATCACCTATTGAAGAACTTTGGTGACATAGCTGAAAATCGATCACATTGGCGCAGACAAATACACTCTTTATCATCTTGGACATTTTGTTAACCTTCATCTGTTTATTTCGTCTCCTCAAACACATTTGTCTACTTTAATATCAATCTTTCTATACAATAATCCTTTCTTGCATGCTGCTGCATGTTGTGACAAATTGCATTAATGCACTTCCTTACTAGGCTCTACATCGATCTGTCTATCTAAAAATCTCAAATTTTATTGGGAGGAGTGGATAATAGGGATAAAACTAGGTCATCGCGAGTACAGCAGATAACCTCGTATATTTTTCATCCGAAAGAATAGACAGAAATAACAAGTTCCATGCTATGTTTATTAGTCAAACAGCACAACAGTAGTTTGACTTCAATTGGGAATAACTGTAGACTTCCTTTGCCTCTTTCTGAAGGAGAATAATTTGATGACACACAATTGGGATGTTATACAATGCAACCGTTGATCAGAAGATCTAAGTATTCATAATAAGGCTCGTAGACCAGACCAGGAACCATGCCAGGAGGGCAAACAATATCTAATTTAAGAGTAAAACCTCAGAACCGTAGTAGAAAGTAATTCCATTTTAAGTTGGTATTCATCATTGTAGACTGACATCAGTTGGAGGAACAATGGAAACCTGGGAGCACTGGACAGCTGTTTCGTCCTAGTATGGGACTCCTCAGCAAGGCGCACCCGCGACCCTCAAGATTTAATTCCATTTTAGTTGATTTATTGGGCGTATCACAAAGTGGAATGGTGTTGTTTACTGGATTACGTTTCAGACATATCAGTCATATCACACTAACTGTACAACTTTGAGACATGTTTTATATAGTTCTAATTGTCTCACCTCCTTTGTGATACGTCTCAAAGTTGTGCAGTTATTTTGATATGATTATAGACAATAAATTATGTCTGAGACGTAATCCAGTAAATACTGTTCCACTATCCAATAAATCTAATAAATCAACCAAAGTGGAATATCATCTAGTTGTCAAAAACTTGCTGAATAAGCGGACTCGAACCGGTAACTGACTGAGTGAAACTCAAGAGTCTAAAACAATGAACTAAATCTCATCTACTTTCCTATGCCACATTTTTAAGCACAAAAACCGACAAATACTCAATAATAATTAAAGGTGCTGCTTTGATAACACTGACAAATGAAAACCTCAGAACAATTAGCTCATATTTTCATCCCCCACAAAGTACGTAAAAAATAACATAGAGACAGATATAACAACGTGACACCTCGTTCAAAAGCAGATCAGTCCAAATGATCACATTTCACAACAATATAAAAAGAGAATGCTTACGAAAACGGAATGATACGAGAGTAGGTAACAGGAAACATGAGTCAATAGAATAGAAACGAAGAAATCTGAAGTTTTGATAAACAGTAAACATGTGGTCAAGGCGAATATAAGTGGTTGAAATCACTATCTAACAAGTGTTTGAATCACAACACTTTTCTTCGCTTTCTATAAAAACTTCACGAGAATATGTCGTGAGGTTTCACATGACAACTTAATCAATGACTTGCTGATGCCCAAAGTTAAAGGAATATACAGACTTAAGTATTACAGTTCGTTGTGACCTTAAGCCAGCAACTAACTGTAAAGAAGCAACTGCTAAATGTCTTCAAATTTTATGATCCTTAGAAAGGCCTTTGAAAATTTTGATGAAGATAGGTTTCGGATCTTAAACTGGAAATACACAAGACCTCATATGGAGTATAGGACTGAAGCAGCGAGCCCATGTTTTAAATATGAAATTGATACAACAGAGAGGGTCCAGAGGGTAAGAATTATGATCGTCAAAAAGCTATGCCACCTCTCCCATGAAAAAGACTCTAACATATAGTATCCTAAATAGCGATTTACATGCCCATTTGTCTTAATTACTTCACCCGACTACCTTCTAGAGTGGTTCATTTCAGTTCATAAACCATGATCGAATCATTTAGGTCTGGAAATTTGTTTCTTGCACAGATCTTTGAACCAATGAAACTCTCTAAAGCAGCATATATCGTCTTCACACCGTTGATACTGTCAAAATGAGATTGGACCTCCATGGTACTACCACAAGCAAAGATTAATATACGTCATTGGCCTATTAAAGAATGAACATGAGAATATTTACGAATGGAGTGAAAAGCAACACAATAACAGTTAACTGAATTATCAAAAGGTTTTGAGTGGCAGGAGATGAGCAACCAATATATTTGGTTCCCATGACCTATTAAAGATTACTGATACAAACAACTAGGTAATCTATGAAAGATTTAAAACTTGGTGAAATCATCAGCAGAGATTAACAAAAATGCATAGAATTACGATCTCTCTGTGAACTCTAATAATGGTATAAAGGCTGATGATAGCAACCCATTGTACAAAAGAATGACACTGAAAGGCAGCGGTATGTGCATCTCCAGCCGAAACAAAAAAGTGGGACTGGAATGATATAACATGGGAAGTAAGTGTCATGCTTTCCACTTATCAAACGAAGTGACTAAATGAACACTGCTGAAAAAAAGCATGTCTTTCACTACTTTTATTCGTTTAATTTAGATTTTATAAAAATATCTGTAAAATATTTAATATCAAGTTATAGCTGACTTACCGTTCACGAAGCATAGAGTGAACAAGTAATTCATCTTTATCTTCCTTAGGCTCTTCGTTAAACTGTCCGTGAAGTGTTTCGGAAAAATTATGACTTAGCACAAGCATTTTTGGTGATTAACTTAATATCCACTTCTTGCCATACTAATCATAAATTAAAAGCCCTTTAATGTATAGTACCAGAGAAACACCCAAAACAAACTGAAAAATTGTGGGCGTTGACAAAGTCATTTCAAGGTGAAATTATAGAGTGATGATTGGCTGTAGTAAACCTTGAGATGACCTTAATGAAAATGTAGCTTCGACGATAAGATTAACTCTGAACCAATCAAAATTGAGAGTACATTGTTGAATATGAATATATTGTTAAACACATTACCTGAAACGCTTAAGTGTGCACGTTTTTTTAGAGACCTATATGAAGCATTTAGAGAGGAGAGCAATAGAGAATAGCTGAGTGGAATTAGCGTGGAACACAAATACCGGAACATGAATTGCACATAAAAATTATGTACTCACCCTGAAGCTATTGGTCTTCTGGGAATGGGTACATTATCTGGAGTGAAGTCCCATTCAATCAGTCCAGAAAATCCAGCCAAACTTGATGCACCTGCCATCCCAAGTTCAGCATAATCTCGACTGATTCGAGTTTCCGACAATCCTATTTCCTGTGTTAATAAAAAGAAATGATGTGAAAACAAACTTCAAATACGGACAACACGGTTGACTACAAAAAATATTGTCAACTCTTCATATTTGCATACCATTGAAGCTGAATATGTTACGATCATCAATGAAACAGATTTTTATTGCATGAATTATCCGATTAAAATTTGGTAAATCAAGTATAATGGATGGCCATTTAAGTTTGCGAAAGCCATGGTAGGGGCAAACTGTTTCATGCCTACTGACTCAGCTGTATATCTTCTGTATCGTAAGATTTTACTTTTGAACAGGTCTCAATCGCATATCAACCACCAGTTTTTGACTCATTTCCAGCTTGTAAACTGGTCTTTATGCATGGCAATGATGAAAATTCTTAACACTTGGTAGTTGAGCTGTTTACAGAATTGTCATTGATAACTAAAAATACCAGGAGATATAGCCGAAAACCGACTGCATGCATATCATATCTGAAATTCTAAATCCTAAAAATATTATTATAATAATGTCTTTTCATAAGGTTGCAGATTTTTCTAAAGAGGTTGTGCATATTGTTTTAACTCTCTCGCTGTTTTAACTTTTGCTGACTCTACCTCGATGTGTATCTACAAATCTACTTGCTCCTGTGGAGCTAGTTATATAGGCCTCACAAAGCTCACGCTTTCCAAACGTATCTCTGGGCACTATCCTGCATGGTTGTCGAGGGGAGAATGTAAATCAGCTAACAGTTCAATTCTTGAACATTTGGCCAACTCTGGATATAAAGCTAGACCAGAATCCTTCTTCAGTGTCATTTATCGTGTCAGATGGAATAGTTCAAAAGGGATACGCCTTCGACAGTTGTGCACAGCGGAAGCACTGGCAATTCATCAATTCAAGCCTGATCTCTGCGTGCAAAAGAAGTATGTTCAATCTCTCATCTTACCATGGTCTTAGCACTCACTTTTTTTCGATCCCATTATAATTAATTAGTTTATTAGTATTACTATCACCTTCATTATGATCCTTGTCTCATTCTTCACCTTCTTTACATCTATCTATCAAGTGGACACTCAATATTTGCGTTTCTTATCTACCAACAATTTTCACCTTGTCAAACTCCTTGCCTTTCTCGATATTTCTACTGTCTTAGTTTATTGCGCAACTACTTTGCATTCCTGATTCCGGTTTTTTAGCACTAGGTTAATGATGTAATTATACCCTATTGTTTTATAATAGACTGTTATATGTTTATGATATATATATATATATATATATATATATATATATATATATATATATATATATATATATATATATACGATTGTACAGCTTTAAAAAATGATATCGTCGAAAAAGAAAATTTTCTTCGCTGAATTATCTCTTCTCTACCCTATTGTTTAGCTGGTGTGAAGTGTGGCTACGTGAACTAATATATGGTTCTACATGCCTACCCATCTACTCCAATACATTGTTTAGGTAGCCCTTATTTCTATTCACATGTTAAATATTTCAAAGTACTGAATATACTGCAGAACGTGTGATGCAGTCTTCTGGACCCCTTAAGCAACCATTTGAGGATGGTTGAGGTGCATTCTTCGTCACTCAAAGAAAGCTTAAATCCACACACATGTGAGCCACGTGGGGAGATACAGACTGCCTGTTTGGGTTCCTTGAGATGATAGGAATCAGTGGTTGAGAACTCTTGGTGACGTGACACGGCTCCGAGTCGATCACAATAGCGCAGATGTAAACATTTCTTGAAGCCTTCTAAACGTCGAATACTTGAACTAACCACTATCTTCATTTTTTTTTGGCCTTCTGACACAACTTTGTCTACTTTGATATCCTTTTTATGCCCATCTCTTCTTTGTATACTACTATGAAGTGTGGCAGCCTGAAATAATACATTTATGTGCAAAGCTCCACGTTGATTTTATGTCTGTCTCTCTATAAAAAAATTTTAATTCACAATGAACGTAAAAATTTATCAGAAAATGAGCACATTCATTTACTGGTTACTGGAGGGTAAGCAACATCAAGTAGTGATGATCAAATTCTATCTATCATTTCGCAATGTGGAGAGCAGGCTAGAAGGCTCAGCATCACGATGCATTGAGATAGATGCTAGTTGGATGGAGGGAGTTGGTAGGTAGCTGTAGAACCAAGTTTCGTACTTTTTGGCACTCGTAAGGAAGGTGTTAACACTGAGCTATTGGGGCTCAGTGATAAGGTCTATGACTGCAACACTGAGTGATGAGGGTGCGAATCTCAGGCGGGACATCAGCTCCGTCGAGGTTGCAGACACGCCTTGCTGAAGAGTTCCAAAATTCACTTAACCTAGGTCCAGGGCTACCCGTCGACAACCTCCATCCAACTAACACAAGCATATTCATTATGAACAATGGTAGAATCTTACTCGAGTTCCATAACCAAATTGTGGATCACGCCATGTGACTCCATGAGCATTTTCAGCTGCTGTGCCTTCATGAATACTATCTTCACCTGATAAATACAGAAGGAAGGGAATAATTGGAAGGAAGAAAAGGTTACAGAAACTCAAAAACTGTGTACATTATCGTCATCATAATACATACTGAAAATTAGTAGTTATCATCTACTTGATGTGCAGTTTTACTGAAACACTAGCAGGCCGTATATTTTCAAGTAGTATATTTACTTAGCACGATAGAATGATAAACTTGTATTTTGGTGAATCCTAATCCTTATACTAAATTCAGCATTTTCTCATTCCTCCTTCCTCTCTTTTACTGCCTTCTACTTCTTTTGACCGATTCTTCTTTCTTTCTTCCTTTATCTTTCATCTTATTGCTCCATTCCTTGATATGGTGTGGCAACTTGAGCCATTAAGCAGTATTACTTGGTCCTATGTTGATATAAGTGATGATGGTGATTTTAATGAACCAATGAAATTAATATGAGTGATTATCAACAAGTTAGCTGAACTAAGAGAAAGAAATAATTAGAAACTTTTCAAAACTTTCCTAGAATAAATTTGAAGTATAGCTACATTGAAAAAATAGTTATTATAAAAATTAAATCTATTGTTGAAAACACAATGTTATTAGCATAAAATACAAGAGACTTAGTAATGAAAATTTAAGAGAGAAATGAATGAAACGAAGATTTGGTTAAGCAACTAACCATTCGCTGAAAAGTAAGCATGTAAATGAAGATACTTCATCACATAGATGAATAGGTCACTGGCAACATCTGTGACTGCATCATTGGTTGATACAGGTTCAAATTACAAGTTCATTTCCTTCAATTTTTCAGACACACCTTCCTGATGAGTACCAATAAGCAAGAAACCCAGGTGAAGCAGAGCTTCTTATCGTATACCTCTATCTAATTGACATTTATCAAGGTACACTACGATGGTGAGTCTCCTGGCTCGATAGACATATTGCAAAATGTTTGATAAAATTAGTCCAGTAGGCAGGACTGGACAGTATGAGATTGGTTTCTCTCCAGTAACAGATCAGACTAACTCCATATATTTCAACTTTAACAACAGAATCATTGAACAATAATAAATGTTACTGTCATGTTTCAGTTCTACCATTACAATAGCAGTATACTTACCAAACTAACTGATGTGACACCGCAGGACAATTGATACACTACGGCAGATGCCTGAAGATGATAATGTGAAAGAAGTCTAAATCCTATACCTATGTGTGGAATATGAGATAATACAAATAATGTTATGAAGATTCAATGAAGACTGAACTCAGCTTTTATATATTCTGAACGAAACAACATGTGTTTGTTATTTTTATCCCGTCAAGAGATATTTCATCGAAATCTATTCACATACTGTTTCTGAAATCCTTCTGTTCACCCAGTTAAATTAGAAAACTTATTTGTTCAGTTCATAAAATAGGTTGATCAGGTGTTATTAGCTTTCGGTGCAAGAGATCAACTCAGGAGGTAACTTGATTTCAACATCAAAAAAACAACAACCAACTTCTTTCCAATACGACGAAATCAAAAACAAAGAAATTTCTTTACGCAGTACCTCTTATTCCTCATTTTCTTTTTACGAAAATATATAATCACCTCAGGTGATCAGTGTAACACTTAACTTTCACATGTCCTACTGTCAATAGGTACTTTCTCTTTTTTCTTAAGAGGAATCGAAAAGAGAAGTATCACTTCCTTTTTTTCTTCTTAATCATCTACAATGCAGACTCAAAAAGAAATGAAAACGCCTGAACAAGTCAATAGAAAAAAAGCTGTGTGTATTTACGGGTTACTTAAAAGGCCAACCCAACAACGACTGAAATAACTAATTAGATTGGCTTATTTCGACGGGAAAGGTAGTTTTTTAAATGAAATATAGAACTCCAATTGGTTTTCTCAGTAGTTTTTAGGGCAGCTTTTAGAGTAGTTTTTACACACTGCCCAAACAAGCTTATTGTTGTGCACACACACACAAACACATTACTGCATTTTCATGGTTTAACAAGTAGGTTAAACAAACAAGGAGCAAGTAGTCCTTTAAATCTACAGAAAGGTAGCATATGAGTAGGCCTGAGTTGCATGGCAGCCTAAGTGTACATCTGTACATGCACATACATATATACACAAATACTAAAACACACCTGAAACATTAGATAATTTATCTGGAGCTATTTTCACATGATTTAAAACACCTCGATGTCCATAGTGTTGCTCATCTGAAGGCTTATAATCAAAGTTGTTCTGACTTTGTGGAGGTGCTTGTTGATGATGATGTTGTAAATATTGTAATTGTTGACCAATACTCTGTCTACTTTGTGCACGTGAAAATAAAGGTGAAGATGGCATAAGCGTGAAATCAGGTTCCACTGTGAATAAAGGGACAAAATAAAGAAAATCACATTAGAAAATGTAAAATAACTCACAACACAAAATGATTTAAGACTGATGGTTAATAATTCAATCCAACAAGTGCACATTTACACTACGGGTAAATCAGTGACGAGATTCCGGACTGACATGGTGGAAACTTAGTTACATACAGACTTTCATGATGTGTGCCAAAATACAAACAACCTATGAAAACAGCTTGCTGCAGACTACAAACAAATATCTACGGGGCGCAAATCAAGGTAGGCATTACAATCGGATGCCAAGCGTGTTAATTAAAAAAGGAATACCTAGTTGGATTCTCCAAACTGTAAAAGTAATACGTGAATGAATACTTTATTTGAAGCAGTGATATCCTCTTTCCTACAATCTCGTCCAAAGTGATGTCATTCAGCGATGACAGTTCTTACAAGTTTCGAAAAAGTATTCTTCCGCTAGCACGTACTACTTATAAAGTACTTAGGCTAAGTAGTAAATGATATTAGTTTTAAGAAGGAAGAAAATATCAATGCCTACGCATGTTAATGGTTCATTTCTTCATCCTGACAATCACAGATTGCATGGACCTGAGTGGAACTATTCCAAGATGCCAAATTTATATGATTAACATCGCAATACTTAGGAACAATAAGAACAGGTCTAAACCATATATATATGCATAATACGAAATCCAACAGCTCACGACAACAATGCCCAGCGTTACCACTTGCTGATCGTGAGTAAAACTTAGACACTAAGAAATTGTACATACATTAGTCAGCCACTTAGCATTAACATGGGATCTGACATTACGGAGTAACAGTTGGAGTTTCCATCCCGCATATCAGCACATCAACACAGGAGGTACGAAGATGAAAGAAAGAGAAATAAGCATGAAAGGATTCAAAAGTGGTGGAGATTCGGGAAAAGAGTACTAGAATAAAATTTAGTATGACAAAAACGATGAAGGTAATGTGTGAATACATCTGCGCCAGTGAAACCGATTCTAAGCCATATCACCTAGCGTAACCAAAGACCTTTTTCGAATTTCCGGTGAACGCTTACCGGATAGTCTACATATATATACACGATTCAGATGATATTTTAGCCTGGGCACCTGTATCCATTTTCTAGCATGAACCTACTTCATCTAGCATTGCGTCATGAGGTAGACGGTGGCTAGTCATGCGTAACGCGTCTCAGCTATCTTAGTCTATGAAGATTCACAACTTCATCAACTCACATTCCTCTTTTAATTAAAACTCTAAGGTATGGAATCGAAAAATCACAAATCAGATGTAATGTGAAAATTCATCGTATAAGGTGGACTTTATTTGTGTAATCCCGGCATAGTACATAAAAACAAACAAGTAGATATTTGGTATCATTCATCAACATTTCCATTTCGCTATCAAAATCCTTTTCAAGAGAATGAATCTGACATTAAGTCTGAATGACTTTACACGCCAGCCTAGCAACTGCCGAGATAACCAATCAGGTTTCACTATGTCGTTTAAGAAACGAAGGAACGTAATTGGTTATCCTAGCAGTTGTTAGGGTGGCCTTCAAAACCACCTAATTCCAAGATGGCAAGAAAGCTTGAACAAGTTTACTTCGCGTACATAATTCTAGTTCCTACATGTATGTGATAACAGCTTCGGTTGTACAGAGAAAGAGGAAACGTAACATTCTAGGTAAATTTTTCTACATCTTGTAGATAACTTTCAATGCTGAATCAGTTATGATGCTGTTTCCAGCTAAAGAGAATGAAGTCGCTGAAAAGATATCCTCCTTAAACTTGCCGTTTTCTATGAAACATAACATTCATACACGCCCGTGAACACACCGGGACTATTGGAAGAATAACTGAATAGGCTATCATCAGTGCTATCCTAACTCATCGAGAAAACAGCGAAAATAATTTATTAACACGTGTACAGTTACTCATCTTATGGTAATCAGCAGCCATGAGGGTGAAGATAACAAAATCTGGTGTATGCAATCAAAAGAAATACGTACAACCACCTTTTCAAACCTGGTCTTATCATACGAAAAGATTAAGTTTGAACATTGACAATGGACAGGTACTTTCTGACCCACTTAACCCTCTTCCTGTTGCTATTTCTTTCGCTCCGTACCACATTTGTGTTATATTTTATGAATATATAACCTACACGATAGTATTTTAACAACTATTTATGTCGTAGACCTGTATAGTTGTTCTTATACACTGTCAGTATACTCAGATAATTTCCATTCTGGGAACTACAACACCACTTCACAATGACATTTCCATCGAGAATAAACAAACGCACAAACGCTCATATATACATAAAGTCCTTAAATAATACTTCCTTCCATCCTTTTTGCCTACCCATGTTGTTATACTTAAAGTAAAATCAGCTAGAGAATGATTAGAAACCAGGAAGAACTGGACAGTTGTTTGGTTTTATTTTACAACTGCTAGGTTTTGTGTATCTACGACCCCACAAAGGATCGAGTCCAGAACTATCAGGTTTCACGGTGGGCTCATTACCATCCAGCCACTGGGCTGAAATCTAGTAGTACAGTTTTCCTGTTTCCGTTAATTCGGGATGCAGCATGACCGTTATCCATACAAGTCACGAGAACGTTTTACTAACATAAGGGTGAAACTTGAGGATCGTGTTAGAATGAACTTGATATGTTTTAAGTGAAGTATGCTGTTTCACTGAGTGGTGCACCTAATAAATTACAGAAAACAGAAGAAAAACTTCCGAACTTGTACCACACCACGAAATGAAATGAGTGCCCTACAACTCCCCACAACTAACAAAGCTTTTACTAACTAGATAAGAATTTTGTTATCATGAGAGGAACATTTTGCTCGATCAGAGTCCAGCTAATCAAATCTGTATATGATCAGATCGAAGTCATGACAAATTGAATGAATCTATCCAAGAAACTTGGATAACCTGATAACTCCAAAAACAGTCTAAATATTCGGTAAAAACATATTTTTGGAGTACTACTTTCCATAGGTGAAAAGTATTTGATGTAATCCGTTTAATTGCACAATCTAATGTAAAATAACCACTTAGCGACTTGATCATCATGCACTGGCTGACAGCTTACTTATTGTTGTATTTACCACTCAGATAGCTCTGCAATATCTAGTGTTATTTGTTTACATTTCATACATTTTAGAGAGATAACATCAACGAATTTGAAGAGATGGCTTTCAATGTAGACACTCTACAGACATATCAAATGAGTTGGTGAAATGTCAACAAGCAATAATATAAATTCACAAAAAGCTTTTAAATTGCAAAAATTAAGGTTGTTACCGTATCCCTCCACAAAATCATTCCCGCCCTGATCTCACAGTACATGCCCTAATATTCTACTCTAAAAATCCAGTCTTTATCCTAACTTGCTATTTTTTAGTGTTGCTCCGTATACACTATGACTGATAAATAAACTTCTACAAAACTTAAATACAAAATTTTTTTCTGCTGCACACTAGGATTCTTCAGTTATATAAGCCCCCTTAAAGCCCTGACACGGCTGCGATAATTCCAGGCATCCTCTGAAAATTTTCTCATATGGTCTGCGTTCATAACTTCTACTGGGGAATCTTAATGCCTTCACGTGGTAGGGGGTATTCGCATAAGAGTGAAAAGGAGATAGCGAATACTCGAAGCTATAACTAGGCTAATGTACACAGACATTACACCCAAGGGTATTGAAAAGCCCTAATTTCAAGCTATTGGTTTACGTAAGCATCATCATCCAGAACAGAGGAATAGGAAATGACTCTATCATGGTGACTCCCAGCTATGGGAATGCAGCACTTCCTGTTGCTCCGCTATCTTGTGGATCAAACACCAACATCTAAGATATTGGTCCCTTCAGACAACCACCTCCTTCGTTTTGAGCATCTGGACAATATCACAGCCTAAAAACAACTTATGAACTGGCATTATCAATCAAAACTACTAAGCTCTCATCAAATCTTCCTGTGCAAATCAAAATTCACGGTGTGGTGAACTGTCTACACAATTATTTCATTTTTCCTTATATCTTCATTATTCTCACTTACAGACTATGCTATCTTTTCGTGATCAGTTTCAAATCTATGTTTATATCTATCTTTGTTTCAATCAGTTGCTCATGGCTAACAGAATTTTTAAACTGTCTGTACTATTTTTAGTCATAAAACAGTTGCTTCCGGAAAGCTGTTTTTCAGTGAGATACCTTACTCAACTATATTAAAACCACGCTCACCGCTTAAGCTGGTCACTTTCAGAGTCCGAACCTTAACGCAGATCGGAAAACAGACATGTTTGAATAGAATTCTGGAAATCCCCGTTGCCGATATACGCTGTATCTCAGAAATCTTCACATACTATCCTTCTAAAGCGCTTACAATATGTTTTCTATGTGTCAGTTCAAAAGTTGTATTTTCACTATGCTTATCCGGGAACATTTGGTGTAAGCATCTGGTCTAAAGTTATCTGTGTACTGTTAGGCTAGGTGGTTCGACTGGAGTGAGGAGTAACTGGCAGGGGAAACGATGTCTCTTTGTCGTCTCACGCTCTAAGTGGCTGCAGCCTGAATTCAGTTACGGATGAATTTTACCACCAAGCCAACTGAGTGGTCACTTCCACGTGCACTCGAAGATATCACAGTGTTAACTGGAGACGTGAATGAACCTGTCAGTCTCAGATGAGAGTCGTTTTATTGGTCAGTTGGGATTAGTTGCCGGTAGGAGACTTGAATGCAAAAGTCTGAAGCCTAGGTCCACAGGACTGTCGTCCAGGTAGCCGACAGTGGTTAGTCTGTTGCAGATAATATGTTCGGTAACGTTCACTACAATTTTGTGTAAATCACAACCTGTTTCTAGCTAGCATCGACTTCCAACATAGTTATCACTGTTGTGCTACCTAGAGTCTTCCCTCCACTAATCAAGCCAGGACTGAAACAGATCATATTGCAATCAGATACCGGTAGCATGGGTGTATTTAGAACTACCACTCCTTCTGGAGAAACTGTTTGGAATCTGGTCATAACTCAGTGTGTACTAAGTTCCACTTGCGGTTCGATTGTCACACAGATAGTCATCTTTAATGGGTCCACATAAGAAAGCTGGTTGTACCTAGTGTTGCAAGTAAACGCCAGCTAGATTAAAAGTTAGCTGTAAAGCTACCTGTGGCTCTGGAGAACACCCCACCACTAAACGCTGGGTCTTTGCAAGCTCATTGCAACTTCTCGACACTCGTCAGTGTATTCTGACAGGTAGCGAGTATTATGATGTGCACAGGCTCCACATGCAACAGGTCACACAGCAGTTGCGTAAGGACCACAACACCTGGTGAGTAGAACATGCGAGTGAGATGCAAACCGACGCCAGCTCTGGTCATAATGAAAAGCTGTTCCATCTCATACAAGCTACCGGCCTAGTAACAGCGAGACTCTCTGTAAATCAGATAGCCAACCTACTCGCGGCTATTTTTAAGGATGAAGATTAGATTTTAGTTAGGGAACTGGCTAAACAGCTAGAAAGTTAATGGAAGACTGAGTGTTCCACCACTTCGAAATGAAGTAATTACCGTGCCCATCTTTACAAAGCATCTGCGTTATATCTGTGGTGATAATCGAGGTATCTGTCTGCTACCGGTAGCATTTAAAGTGTTGGCTCCCATCACGCTTGACAGGTTGAGCAAAACGAATGAGATGATTCGCGAGAAGCAGGCTGGGTTTCAAGTCGTGGATGCATTGATTATGTGTTGACATACCGCCAGATCCTCGGGCACCGTTACATGTATCGTAATCCAATGGTCTCTTTGTTCATCAATATTAGGACTACCTTAAATTCGTTGGCAAAAGCTGTACTCTGAAATTGTGTGTCAGAGATGGATATATCTGAGAAGAATATTAATATCATGGAAGCCTTATTCTTCAACAGCTCAGTTAAAGCAATGTCATACCGTCACTTATTTCTATTGTTCCAAACAGTTAGTGGGATTTGGCATGGCTTTGTGGTTTCACCATCCCCCTGTAACTTTGTTATTAATGACATTCTCGAGATAGCTATACACGAGTTGTGTGATGGAGTAGACCTATTACCAGATGAAAGACCTCTTGACCTCCAGTATTCGGATAAGATCATTCTACTGTGCACCAACATATAGGTTACTGAAATAGCACTCAATCAGTCAACGATCGGTGTCCGTAGGTATGGTGTCTGCTTCGCGACGTCAAAGTGCAAAGCGCCTCTACAAAATTAGCAGGAGCCTGTACCTTCATTCACCCTTGGCGGTGAATGACTGAAAGTCGTCAAGTTTATGAACTTGAGTAGTTATGTGAGTACTGGTAGAGATGTGACTGACGAGATTTCCAAACATCTATTGAAAGAGTGACATACGCCAATCTGGGTCACACCTATCGCCATTATGACGTTGGCTTTGCTGTAAAAGGTCTGGTATACAACCTGACTTACCCAAAATGCGGATTCAAGACTACTGTGCATGTCTCACCACTGTTATCTGTACAAGATCGGTCACATCCTGTGGAGACATCAATGGAGTAATTCCGTCTAGGGTAGCGTGTGTTTAAACGTTACGAAGACCGTCATTCATTGAATGCGGTCGTCTTGTAAAACTGGATTTGGTGGTTTGGATATGTGTTAGGCATGTTGTCTCAACGGCTTCCATACTGCTCACCGTTTGCTGAATCTGGGAAAGGTTGGAAGAAGAGGAGAGGTGACCAATGTACAGCTCGATGCTATGGAATGAAGGATAATAGTGTTGGGTTAGCATCCGTAGATGTCTGATGACTCACTGGATGGTGTTCAAGAGATCATACGACCCAGCAGCTTAAGACGATAGCAGTTATGGCTCGGAATCAAAATCGGTGGTGATTATGCTGCCGTTCCCTTGCTTCTTGTGTCATCGAGAAGTAAAATGAAAGTAGTGAATGCTTCTATGGATACATTAATGAAACTCCTCCAATAACCCGCTTCTGTTTTCCTTCCCATCTATATTTCGTTGTCTACTTTTTCACAATGTTGCATTATTATTCTGTATAGCGCATCTCTTAGTGCCTACGTTGTACTGTTTTTGTTCTAATAATGACAATAATAACATTAATAACCAATTATCTAAAGGTAATACGACTGTTGGAAAACAACTAATGTCAAACATGAAGATAGTTACTCATTGCATTCCATGATCGACTGAATAACGTCTGATAATTAGAAGTAGTGAACACGACCAATTTTTTTTAATCCTAAGGGTGTAAACTCCAAGTAACTCTAAAGTTCATCCTAATAACCAGTGAAAAAAATCAATTAGGTTTTTGTATTTCTGTTAGAAGAGTAGTTTTTTCACACCTGATTACTATGGAAACTTCTGGGATGGCTCTAACAGACATTCGTAACTGTCGTGGTCTAGCGTTCAAATAATACATAAGCAACAAACTAATTGGAATCGTCAGTGCTGAGACCGGGCTCATTGTTTTAAATATCACTGAATTTGTCATTGATTATAGATTTATTGTGCTCGATACTATGAGAAGTTCAAACAGGAGAAAAGCGTTTAATATATCTTCACTCTCAAACATTATTCAGCTGATTTCAACTAAATCCTGTATTTGGTGCATACAAAGCATGTTTCAGTGTATTAAGGTAACCCAATTCATTGCAAATTTTAACCACTTAGATAAAATATAATGGCTTTTTCTCCAAAACAAAAAAATTGGAGCAAAAAATCTTTCCAGTGATATGAATTAAAACAAGCTGTACAACACATACCACATTCTTCCTCTGTATCTGTAATCGGATTATCTCTCATCATATCTGGATGCTCAAGACCAAGTCGATTCACTGAGGCATTCTGTTGTCTACCTATAGATAAAGTATGCTCCGGACCAGAAGATATAGATGAATTCAATTCTGTGCTGATTGGCAGTTCATCAGTATTTTCATGCTCCCATGATTCTACACAAGTTGTCACTTGACGTAATGCCTCGAATATATTTAAATAATGCTGATGACGAGCAACATGAGCTGGTGTCCAACCATACTATAAAACACCAAGTAATAAAATAAAATGGCAGCATAATACTGTGAACACTATTGCATTCAATATGATGTTGGACCAAGATAGTTAGTTTCGAGTACCCTTGCTATTAAACTATGAAGATTAACACCTAATAAACACTGTTTAAACTCTTAAAACTTCAGTGACAAAAAAGAAGATTGATCAAAACTGCGGACTATAGTAAGTAGTATTAGTCACAAACTCATGCTCATCATAACATATAACTAGTTATACAGTAAGTGAAAACTGAACAGATATCGTGTCCTTTTTGAAAACACTGCGATGATCAGTTCTAAATGTGAATACAACTACACAACGGTGGCATTAAACTACGAATTATCATGCCTAATTCTTCTGATTTATACACCTTATCCCAATCTCATCTGACATATGTTTTTGTCAATTTATACTTTAAGGGATTTGCTTTGCAACATCGTTCCTGGATCTGATATTTGTGTAAACTAAGTTTAAGGATGAAGTGACCCACTTTTCTCATTCGCAGTGTCATCAAGTAGTAAAAACAAAAGCATGATTCCCATTCCAATTTATATTGTTCGTGTGGAGCTAAATACATTGGCATTACCATGCACTACTTGTAAAAAGTGACCGAGAACACTACCCAACCTGATTAGCAAAGGTAGAATGAAGATGCATTTTCAGCTTAACAGCAGAACACATTGTGAATTCAGGTCACTAAGCCCCTTTTGAGAATTCCTTCTAAATCCTCTCCAAGGTTTGATCAAGTCACTCAAAAAGAGTGAGACCAAAGCATTTGGGTATAGTTGAATCAATAGCTATCCAGAATATCAAACCAGCGCTATGTGTACCAAAAAAAGTACGTTCAATCTTTGTTTTTGCCAGGGCCATTATAAAGCCTTGACTACCCTAAGTAAGTCCTGTGACACGTCATTTTATTTTCTATTTTCTTAACCCACTGTTCATTTTCCCAATCTAAAACCTCATTTGTACTAAGTAAATTCCTTTCAGTAATCAGTATATCTTGATGCCTGACTGAAGATAATTCTGGGATATTCTACCAACTTAACATATATTCACGAATGTACAACTTAGTAACTGACTTCGTCAAAAACAAAAAAATTCCCCTGCAACCATCCTTTTTGTCTTTTCCTGTGATCAAATATTGAATTGATTTCTAGCTAGGAAAAAATAAGTTCGGAACTTTGTTATTACATGCTTTACTTATGGTTAGAATTCTTTAGTGTTTTAACTGAAAACGACTGCAAATGAATTCGATTAGTTCGTAACAGAAGCGTTTGAACAAAAAGATATTGTAACGACAGACATCAACTGTCTCTCAGATGAGTCTACGCGTTTTGAAAGTGGCAGAGCCACCTGTTTGACCATTGTTACGATACATTCAGTAAGAAGTGTTGCTTTTAACAAGCCTAAGGGGAATGAACATTTCAGGGACAAATCATTATATACCCAACATAAAAATTTCCCTAATATACAGGTGTTCATTGGAAGTTGTCGACAGTTTGTAGGTGTTCATTAGCAATGCAATGGGAACATTGTAGAATGAAAGTCCATCAACATATCTAGAAAAGAAACCAGTATATTGTTCTTGCCTTATCGAAAAGTATTGTGCAGGTATGCAGTTTGCGACCAGTGTATACACATGTTAATCATTTGAACCTTGGTAAGTGTTATAGTTTGCAAAAAATAACAAAGGTAGCTAGTTACATGAAATATATAAATGATATTTAGCTGCTATGTAGAAGACAACTAAGTACCCAATCCATTCTATATATAGAGAGTTAATAACGCTAACTAGTAATCAAAGGGAAGTAGAGACAGATAGAAACAGACAAGCGAAACAACTTAGAATCACCCCTGAAAGTATTTAAGGCTGACGTCACGACACTTGGAACAACAGAAACAGAATACTTAAAGCGACAAAGAGATACTGAAATAGGAGAAATTATTTGCGGAAGAAGTTCAATAAAATGTTGTGAATTCTACAGCTGGAAAAAAATGGGGATACCTTAACCACAGTTATTAATTTCAAGCCATATCGACAAAAGTTTTCAACAACAGGTGAATCTTAGTACTTGGTATAGCTCAGTTCACTAGCCTCCTGTTCTATACATGGTTCAAATAAACAGTTTAAGACTTTATAAAATAGTAACTTTCCTCGCTTGGCCACAATAAGAATTTTTTAACTTAATCCTACTACAGGTAACATCTTCCATAGTGGTTTGCAAGTATAATATATGCTCCGGTTTACTTCAATCGGTGCAAGTTCACAGTTTCAAACTATATGAGGTTTGATGAGACTCAAGGTTTTGAGTTCACTGTTCCAATGAGACTGTTTGGTGAGAGGATTACATCTACAATTTCATCCGCGTTCGAAAATTCCAAAAGAAAAATTTTCACACAACCTTGTGGGGGTAAATAAATTTCCAAAATTAACAAATTATAGCTCAACAATATTCGTGCTAATCATCATAGTTTTTACAGACTTGTTTAGCTGAAGGTAAGCAGTCAAACACATAGACCATTCCGCTAATTGCTGTGTCTCGTTCAGTTGCTCGCATATAATCCTATTAGCTAATTCATCCATACATCTCGGTTCATTGGCACATTTCTATACATATACTATCATCTTCTGACAGCAAATGATTGCAAATCCATAGACTTTTAATTAGCGGTTGGTGTCCGTATCTGTCATAACCTCTAAAATGTTATAATTATTGAAGACTGAAAGTGAAATGGAAACCTGAGTCTACTAAACCACGCCTTTCTGAGATAGCCACACTAGTCGTGATTTCTATAGACTACCAAAATAGAGATACTGGGACATACAAAACAGGCCTTTAGAAAACTGACCTGAATTATATGTAGGAAGGTATCGGATGAATAAATGTGATTAGTACTTTCAATGAAGTGGAATGGCAATTAAGTAAAGGGTAGGAAGAAAAGTCGACCCTTTCTTTACATCCTTACTGTCAAGCCAATCGTATAAAAGTAAAAGCTAAGAGAGATCGATTCAAAATTTCCAAGACATGTAAGTGAGCAATACTGTTTTTATAATTCCAACGTTTCGTACGGAAGCCTAATCCGAGCTTCTTCAGCTGAATAATCAAAATTAAAATATCAAGGCTATGTAAAGGAATCAAAGCCGTGTATTTAATCTTCTTTCAATCCCTTTCATACAGTCACTGTCTTTCTAAAATAGGGTAACTTGTTGTTAAGTGTGAAATTGTAAGTCTCTTGTTGTATGGCTAAATGTGTGTGTGTGTGTGTGTGTTACCACATGTAATTAGCCTTGATTGCAAATATCAGATAAAAAAGGGCATAAGGACATTAAGCCATTCGATAATTTTATAAGTACAATGGAACATACGATGTGGATATGTATATCGTTTCAGTTTGTACGTGGGGCTGAATAGTATTAACGAATTTTTTCATTGGCTTGACGGAGTAAAAATAAGGAGCGATAAGGGCCACCCTAGCAACAACTTTAAGACCAATCAGACTTTGGTACTTCGCCTGGAAAAGTACTTTTCCATAAAATAAAGGTGTAATTGTCTGTCTCGTCGCTTGTTAGAGGGTCGCCATTAAAGTCACACGAAATAAGTGATATTATTGATGGTGATGCTGATGATAATAATAATGAATTAAATCAATACAGATTATGTTGTTGTTCCAGAAACAATGAGGTTCAAACTAGTGTCGACGGTGAATGTTAGAGTCACACCTTCCGCCTACTAATTATTAAAATAATCAATAAATCCTCCCTTAATTGCGTTTTTTGCTTGTTTTAAATGTGTATCCGGAACCATGTTTTCAGTTACCAATAGAAAATTACCCGGATGCAGCAAACTGTACTCCATCTCATCAGTTCAAATTATCTTGATTCACCTATACATGCTGGGCTTCGGCTGTCAATCTTCCTACTCCTTATTATTATTATCATTATTATTATTATTTGTCTCTCGGGTTCCTAGTGGAAAATAGGGCCCCAGTAGCACGTTGCCATTGCACTCTGTTCTCTCCAGTCTTTTAGACCTGGCACCACGAATGCCCACAAGCTTTCATTTCATCCTAACAACATCTCCTTCATGTCACTCTCGCCTCGCACTCCCAACTGGTCGTTTCCCCTTTGGATTCCACTCGAGGGCCTGACGCGTGATATCCCCAATCGGCCTTCTCCGTGTATGCCCAATCCATTTCCACTTTCTTCCACTACGTATTTGTTGGGCGATAGATTCTTGCTTCGTTATTTCGTTCCCAGAGTTCCTTGTTGCTTATTCTTATTGTTCTGGTCATCTGATCTTCAGTATCGAGTGAGCGTAGGCGGCAGCTGTTGATGATGTATGTCTGTAGTTTGTTGGAAATGCCTTTCGTGACGCACCAAGTTTCTGAACCATATAGAAGTACTGACTTGACATCCGTGTTGAAAATTCGGATCTTGTTCTTTGTTCTGAGTGGAGTGGATCTCCACACTGTTTTCAGATTAATGAACACCTGTCCTGGTTTCTGATCCTGGTTTTGACATCCTCGTCTGTGCCGCCACCGACTGTAGTTGGAACGATGCTGACTAGGTGGTAGGTGGAACAGACTACTTTCTTTAGGTTTCTCCCGTTGATGGTGACTGGTGCTTGTTGTTGATGCTGTTGTTGGATGTGTATCTTCATCACCTCTGTCTTCTCTACGTTCACTTGAAGTCCCGTCTTCGCTGCCTCTTCTGTCAACTTGTTAGTTTTTGCCTGTAGATCTTCGAGTTTGTGCGACGCTAGACACAAGTCATCGGCGAAATCCAAATCTTTTAGGATCTATTCCCGGGTCCCCCTCTTCTCGCTACTCACTGTTTGTTGCATGATACAGACCACTACAATCAAGAATATCATTGGTGATAGTAACCTTTTTATTTGATATAATGTTGTCAGGTCTCTGTCTCTCCTACCTGCAGCTTGTTCTGCTTCACTTGCCAGTGTGTCGTAGAAGTGTCTTTTGTC